CCTGTATAGGATTCTTTAAAACTTCAAATTACCTGAGGAGACAGTACAGTTTCAATTAAATGTTGTAGACACATCTGCAGAATATGAGGATGTGATTTCTATTAGCTTACTAATTTTTTCCTTGGGATTGTGGTCCTTAAAACACACAAAACAGAGGCACACTGATCTGCAAATGTGACATAAATTTCATTCCCTGTCATGCCCCCTTCCTGACAATGATTTCATGAAATATTCTGTATAAAATTTGGTATTGGTTACTACATCTTCCAAAATTCTATACTGAAAAATAACTCCATGGAAGTGAGAGTCCTTGTGAAGATAACAGTCTTTCAACTATCAAGAAAGTCCCCATCTTTTATGGAACTCTGAAGTTCATTATCATATTCACAAGTGCGTGCCTTTAATTTTTATTACATCCAAGCCTCCCAAAAGAAACATGTTGGAAATGGAAGTGTAAAAGCTGTGAAGAGAGAGAAGAATAATGCATTGAAAGGGTAGGTACATGCATATGGTATATTTAGCAGAGTCCATGATCTCATTCATGAATTGTCACATTTGTGAACGTTTCAAGAATGTGTCCCTTGCAAACATTCTTGTATCTCAGCTCATCTAATCGGAATATGAGAATAATTACCTCTAATCCATCACAGAACTTTTGTCATGTGCTTAAACTATGTAAACTTCACCCAGTAGTTTTTAGATGTGTGAAAGTGGTCACCTGATCTGGCAAAGTATACGTATCCATGGGTTAATAAGCCTCTTTCAGTATAGAAGTCTTAACATAAAAGAATGGTTTTTCTCGAAATTATGGATCTTTCTGATAGATTGAAATCTTTACCTACAGTTACTAATTGGCTCTATTTTTAGAAATTATATAACAACAGTTGGCATCCATTCAATCATGTGGTGGACAGTGAACCTGAATCTTAGTAACTTCAGTTCTCTTTCATGAGACAGAGGTCACTGTACTTCCTTTAAATATTGCACAATCATCAATCTTCACTTTAAAAACAGTATTGTTAACCAGAATGTGCCTAAAAATCAAATTACAGACCAATGACTTTTAGGGTCATTAAACGTGATATTGCAATCTGTAATTTGCAAACTGTGACAGTAATTTGACATACAGTGTGATGGTGCTAATTTCTTGACAAGAGAGAGGTGGTTTAAATTTGTTTTTTGTCACCAACATCTTGTACACACAAATTTTATTGTAAATACCATTTAGCAGCCAATTCTTCATAGTTAATGAATTAAATTTTGTTTTTTAAATCAGGTGTCTAATTATGGGCATTTCTAAATACAGTGCATTCACTGATGAAGTTGAATGCAACTACACTTCATGGCTTCAAGCTGGAACTGCATGGCTCACCACCAAGCACAGTTCCTGCTGGGAGCCAGGAAGTGGCAGTTGTGTTCACTGCACTTCTCATATAGCTAAATTGAAATGAAGTGGTGGAACAACTGTAGTTTCTGTTTACTCTTATTGAATAATGTAGTTCTCATTCACTATCCAGGTACATAAGGATGGAAGTATTTCATTACCTGTGAAATTGATATTGTGTATTTTTACATCTTGATTTTTAAAAGGTTGTGATTTGTGTTTGATACAAACATTCTAATGTAGTATTCAGCAGTAATATAATATGAGCATTATGTTACGTGCTATGTTGTATTAGTGTCGGCCTTAAAGGTTTTTAAGTAAGTTCACAATTTGTAAAGTCCTTGTTTGTCTCAACCTCATATAGATGTGAAGAGTACTAAAAGATTATTTTCATTAGAATCATTGTGTTTATTAAAAGTTATCATGTATGTGTTGAATAATTGACAAGTTGCTGGTAATGAAATTATAGTTGAAGAGATGTCTTTTAAAATGACCATTGTGCATTTTAGTTCCAATATCTTTCAGCGGTTGGTTTGCTAATTTTGGGGAGGAGGGAGACACAGGGACAGAGTGTTCATGTTAACCTGGCTAACACTTTGAAAAATGAAAAATAGAAACTTATGTTTATGGTTCAGTGGTACTCCATACACTAAACACATCACAACTTGTCATACAAAATACATTGTTAGTAAACTTCAACCAACCCATCACAGGTGTTGTTAGCCACCTTATTTAGGCTTACTTATATCACATTTCTCTTGATTTTAATTGTGTAACCTTTGATGTACTGTGATTGTGTATCATGAGCAATTATGTGTGATGTGCATGCTCAATTGCCAAAATTTTCACAATGCCCTGTCGACCTCTGGATTTGGCTAACACTTTTTAAAAGTCACATTCTGCCACATTCCTTGCTGTTAATAGATGTGTAACAAATGCACCACAAATTTCCATGCCATGTTCAAGTGAAGAATGGACATGAGGGAGACCAAGTTGAAGATGAGAACAAGCTAGGAATGATATGTCAGACAGAAGGAAGAAATTAGGAGGAGGAGTGGTGGGAAGACAGACAGATCGAGAGGCTTGGTTGTCAGATGACCCACAGAAAGGCACCATTTTAAAAAAATCTGAAGTTAAGTGAAGCTGGTAAAAGTTTGTCCACTGCATTCTGACCTTTGTAGACCATTTCTTCAAAGAATTACAAAGACCATAGTGGCTGTTTAGAGGGATAATCCATAATTTTGTCCCTAATCATGTAACTTAATGGTTCATTATCCAAGTGCAGATTATACAGATCACCACGAAGTTAAAAACTGCATGATCCACTTTGTTGCAGTTCTATCTACAAATAATTTTGAGAAATTGTAATTTTACTATAAGCAGTATGTGAAGAAACATTTTTATAAAGTATACATTTAAATAAATTGCAGAGTATTGGCATAAAATGGCAACATTATTATTATTATACATACAGAACTTTATACTTTGATACATAGATTAATTTTATAACTGACCAGCAAATAGTTTCACATTAAAAAAAATAGCTTACAAAAGTAAACAAAATGTCAAATCTAATGTTTAAATTGCGTAAAGAGTAATTGTGACTGCGTGTACTGATCTCTTTAATGCAATGAGAAGTATCAAATATATCAACAGAACTTCAAAACTGAACCAACCACTTTTACACACTTGTCAGAATGAAGTGTCATTCATTTTGTGTAGCCCATGTAACCAAGAACAGATTATCTATAATCACAGCATATTCATTGTCACTCAGAACTGGAAATCTGGATGTAGATGCATACTGCCATCATACTTCTCTTGTAAATCGCATCAAAACTTCATTCACTAAAACTTTATGCAGTTGTGTATTGAAATATGTCTCTTTATGTAGATTTAAACTTGTCAACAGATGGTTCTAATGGCCATCTGTGGCTATATTTTGCAATTATGTTGGTATATGAAATTACTTCAGTTATGTTTAAACACTGCTGTTTGTTTCAAATTATGATCCATGGACAAATGGAATGAAAGGAGAAATAGGTGTTCATAAAATATAATTGTCAACTTTAGATTACACTGAAATCCAATCACAAATTTAAAGATTTTAATGAATTCTCAAAAAATTATACCAGGCTACTAGCGTATGCCAAAATGTAAATCAAATACAACTTGTAGGATTTGAGGTTTTCATGGCAGTGAGTCTGAAGACTGCTGTCTTATGGGTTGTTGCACCGTGTAGTCTGGTAGATACTGACGTTTCAGAGGTCCTTGCTGCCTCCATCATCAGGGCGATAAGTAAGCCTCGTGCACCATCTTCAAGCTCCTCTGAAACAAAGGTAAACTTCTATCAGACTACATGGTGCAACAACCCAGAAGACAGCAATCTTCAAATACAACTTCTCTGCATCATCATAATTATCACTACCATATCTGGCAAAAGTATGAGTTGACATTGGTTTCTGGTATAAAAATTGCTAGTAACTTATAGCCTTGTTATGTGCTTTGTAACAAACAGTATGGTATTTATTGGTTGACATAATTTATTAATAGCTGAATATAATACATTTCTTCTGTATATGAGTACAATACTCTTGCTACTTGTACGCTTTCATAATATTTTTTGTGGGCATGCTAATGGTTAATCAGACGGAAGCCGATGGCCACCTCATCCTGACATTTGTCCCTTATTTCAATGCTGAAAACTTGACAACCCTGGGTATAACTCCCTAGCATCCATTGGATTGGAGGCAGGGCCAACCCCAGAGCTGGTGTGGGCAGAGACTAGAAGAGAAGTCCTTGCCAAAACTAGGGTTCGAACTCGGCTGTCCAGCCAGTCCGTAGTCAGACACTCTGAGTGTACTACCGTGGCTCATTTTAAAAACTAAAGTGGCCCAACTAAAGCACAACCTAATAAAAAGTAAATGCACAGAAAAAAATTGTCTTGCATTTCCTTCATTTTTCAAAGTCCATGCAAAAATATTAAACATTATCATCCAAATCTGCAGATTATTTTGGCATACTTTACAGAAATCAGTTTTATGGGCATAAAATGTAAGGATTCAGTTTTGACTTGTATGAGCAAACAGATCAAATGCAGGTGTTTAGTTTTGCTCTACTAAAATACAAAGATACGGTTTTATCTAATGTGAGAACGAAAAATGGCTGTCTTCTGGGTTGTTACGCCTATTGTCTGATAGAAGTTTACCTTTGTTTCAGAGGTGCTTGGCGCGTCCATCATCAGGGTGATGAGTAAGCCTCGCGCGCCGTCTTCATACTCGCCGCGTGAGAACCTAAAATCTCACTTAATTTTAAATAGGTTTCAGAAAAAATGAGAGGAAAGAAGTGTTGGTTGTAAAATGCAGGGATACAACTTCACTCCATATAATCTAGGTGAATCAGAGTCCACAAAATGATATTAGGTAAGAGGTAGGAAAGTGAAGTGACTTGTAGGTGAATTAAATGCAGTAGAAACTGTGTAGTTGGAATTGCTGATATTGCTAGATATTATACAAATGGTACAGTAAAAGTATCATGACTAACAGTAATCACTATATTGTTATGCAGATTATTGTCTGTGCTAGTTGGTTTCCGTATTTTATTCTGTGGTACCACAGGGTGGACATTAAGCATGAATCATTGGCAGAGGCGCTGTCGTGGATTAAGTGGTAGGGTTGATAGGTTAGTTGGGTGGTAACATGTTGGGGGATTTTTCAAAGTGCCGCGTGAATTACAATTTCGGTAGGTGAGGATTTAGGCCTAAAATTGTGGGAATATACTGAAATAAAAGGGGTCTATTTTCTATTGTTCAGTAAAAATGTTTTGGGGTTAGTTTCACACTAACTATTTGAGAGATTGAAGTTTGACCTGTCTGCAAGTAGATAGGTTATCTATTTCCGCAAGATACCACGTGTCGGAATTAAGAAGTATGCAATGAAGTGACGATATAAATTTTTAAATACGCGTATATTAGAAGAAGTATTATTAAGTATTATTTTGTGTACCCAGCCGAAGTGGAAATGAGTAACGGAATACCTGTTGGAATTTGCCTCGTGCGAAAAGCAAGTGACAAGTGTTGCTCAAGGACATTTGTGAATAGAACTTTGTGGTAAGGAAGAGAGAAGGATCCTTATGTTTTGTGTACCGTATCTTTATATACAAATTTTGGGAATTCATTGTCCGTTTATTGATACCTCGTACACTTTCATCATTGTTTTTATAAATGTTCTCTTTATTTTATCACTTCTGTGTATGGAAAAATAGTGTACATTGCAGCCTAAATGTTGTATATGTACTCAAGTCATAGTATAGAAAGAAAGTGTGTCCACAAACAGTGGCATGGTTTGAAGATTTTGAAATTTTGAAAATTTTGCAAAATCCTTTCTCTATGCTCATTTTAAATTTGTGTTCCTGAACATTAATTCTGTGTAACAGTATTGTATAACTTTCTTACTTTATCACATTATTTAACTACTTGTTTCTGTGTTCTTGACATACATCATTAGGCAGGCCTAGTGTGAACTTAACCTCCTTAAACGTCTGCGTATCTTTTGTCTGCCCGCATGTAATTGTTAAAATACTAGGTAGTTAATGAAAAAACTGTTGTTCATCAACGTAGTACCACTTAACAACTATCAAAACACTATTAATAACCATGTAAACAGTAATAAAGGATACTTGTCTTCTTTTTGAATCAGTTTTTTTAATTATTTACATTTATAAAGTAATCACAACTCAGTACTAACAAGCAAATTTTCAGTACAAATCAACAGGAGAGAAAAATGTCTTTCCTGCCTAGCCAAGGAATGGACAAGGCATGACATGAATTTCATTAAAATATATCATAATGAATAATGTTTTGAACTTCATAGTGTTGTAATGCTTGTTACGGTGGCATTACACTTATTGACCACTACATACATGAATGCTCATTGTAAGACATAGGCATTATTTAAAATGGTCTGAGTTCATGTTAATGTGGCATTGTACCATAAGAGATTTCATCACCATAACATGAATCATCAGGCTACTTTTTAGACTTATAACCTATATTTAAATATAAGTGTAATGGTTATTGCAGAAATCGGCTGATTTGTAGACAGTTTGTGTTCTTAAGGTACTGGAGCCAAAGTTACAATGCATTATTCCCACATCATGTGGCCCAACGTGTCATTGAATCTCCCTAAGCGTGAGGCCACCAGAGGCTCACATGGTAGCGAAAGTGTTCTTAAGATTTTATATCGATGTCGGAGTCGGTACATTTTTACCGACTCCACCTAAAATTGCTTCCGACTCCACAGCCCTGGTATGTATAGCAGATCACTTTTTTTTCATCTAGTTTGCATTCTTCTAGCAACAATATTACATTCTGATGTGTTGTACACATACATGCTAAAACTACTCAACACTACACTACACAAACTCCCCAGTTGGTAGTGGTTCTCATTTTGAATCATGCTGACAGACATGATCAACCCTAAGGGGTTTGTCACTCATGCTAGGGCATGCAGAACACCTGACAAACAACCTGTCAGGCATGCGTTTGATGAAGTAATGAAAATTATATGCACTTATGAAAACTGAGGAGTGTGAATGTTCAGTACATTTGAGAAAAGAGTTTAAATATGTAATTTGTGTTTCACAACATGTATTTTCCATTTTTCATTGACCAGGTACCGTGCAAGTGTGTTCATTTTGACATATGCAGCATATACATGCTACCACTTATCTCGCAAGCCAATCAGTGTGGTGAAGAATGTATTAAATAAGAACTGTAGTGATTATGTTCCGCCTCCTGATTTAATCATTAATGCTACCAACAAAGACAATTGGTGTGACTGGGCACCATTTGGTAAGTAGTAAGGTTTATTCTTTAAAGGGGTGTTCTTGTAAGTAAGTATAGTAATTGAAATAACTCATTAATTGAGGTAATATTCTCACATTATAATAGGCATCTTGATAATTGTTACTGTGAAAGTCATATTCTGAAGTCACAAAGTTTTGCATATTTTACGATTCACTTGACATGTTGTATGAATAATCGCTTGATCTTGCACATTACCTTATTATTTGTAACAGAAGGCTTTTGATTCATTGCATTTATTTTGATTCATAGAACAGAGTTGAAGAAGATAAGCATCTGAGCAAATTCATGAATTGAAATGGTGTGCTCCTTTCCAGGTGATAAAAATGCTGCTGCAATGTTGGGCGCATTAGATTCAGCTTACTTATTTGCATATGCAGCTTCTATGTTCCTTAGGTAAGGAATTATGATAAAACAGGTTACCATCTTGTCCATGCAGGTAATGTATCTCGCTCCCTTGTTAGCACCAGACCACATGTTATATTTACTAATTTATTATGCGTTGTGGACTTCGTTTCAAGCACAGTATTGAAACACTTCATAATACAGAAAAACAATTATCAAAATATATTTGTAACAGCTTTAATTTACATAGTTACATTGATTACATAATTAATCATAAGACTGTGTGATCTGAATCGTTCACGGTGAAACATTAATAAAATATTGGGCTATCAGCTGTGTCAGTTGATTAAAATTTAATGTTTCAGGGACAATCTCTGTCCCTATTATTAGGATAGTGATGAGTAATCCTAAAGAAGGCACTAGTCTGCGAGACACTGGCAAGAACATAGAGTTCTTTTGTTTACTTAACAGTTACAGAGAATGTTGATAAATTTTAGGTACACCTACACCTTTCACTTCCCGGCCTATAAATCCAGCTCCTCACACCCTATTGGCATATTCATCGCCCTGATGACGGAGGCAGTATGACCTCTGAAACGTTGGTTAACATCGACCAGACTACACAGCGCAATAACCCAGAAGGCGGATATCTTCAAATTTTAGGTAGTTGGTGATTGGATTAGTTCCCTGTATTACTTCATATGAGTTCCGCCGATTTGAGAAACAGACACATTTACGGTACCAATTCATGTTAATTTCCTAATGTTTTCCATACCTTGACATATTGCTCTGTGAATATATATTAGTGATCATCTGTTTGAACAAGACCATGCATTGTCTGTCACTTGAGTTTAGTGTTATATTATAGTTTTATTCATCCTAATGTATTTGTGTTATTTCAGTGGTTTTCTGGCAGAACGGGCTAATCTGCGATACTTCCTTGCACTTGGTATGATTACATCAGGCCTGTTCAGTTATCTTTTTGGCATAGCAAAGTCATATGGAATTCATAACATGTGGTACTTCACACTTGTACAGGTAAAGGCATCTTTGGTACTTATGCATTTACAGATAACGTAAACAGTTTTATGGACAACTTCTGAAAGGACATTAGAAGAAAATTACATTCATTATCTGGCATGTAAATCTAAAGAAACTGATGTCAGATAGCTATGTAGCTCAGGAGCATTTATACTGGGCTAAGAACATCTTTCATAAGAACAGTAAAAAAGTAAATATTTGAGAGTTTGCCAAAATTACGTAGTATGTATGAAACTCATTGTACTCATACATTTGAACAGTTTATTTCAGTGTAGGTTGTGACCATCAGCAGGCACGCATGTAATTGCATACATTAAATTCATATTATGTTATTCCAATTATAAAATATGTAATAGTGTAATAGACTAACATGTCCCATCTGTCATATCACATTTGCTTCGTTTTGATTCATGCAGGAGATTTGCAGGAACAAGCCCATAGAATATTTGAGAAATGGGGTGTGTCAGTACTTCTGTTAGACACGTTTGCAACAGAAAGTGCCTATTCTCTTTGTCACTGTTTTTTTGTGTCGTATAACTGAGCCCTTGCTTAGTGAATTTTCATAATATTGACATAAGTCTATGTAGCCATTTAAATTTTAATCCAAATCAGACAGTTGGAAGCGCAGTTCAGCTCTGTTTGTTCTTGTGCTGTATATGCCTGAACCTGAATCCTGCATGTCTTGCCAGTCTTGTATGCAGGTTGCATTGTTTAGGTGAGTAATAGTTCGTGAAGTCAGGTTTTTGCTGTTTTGAAAAACGATGTATGACCAGAGGTTCCTTTATGTAAGGATCAGTGTTTCTTTAAATCTGCAATATTCTGCATCTGATCTTATGCATATTTTGAAGTTTTTTCATCTGGATTATCAGATGGTGTCACTACATTAATAACAAATTAATTTTACTCATATTTCCACTAATAAGACATTCTTGCAGTGGGTTGTAATGTGGTTTGCACCATTAAACTGGTCATGCATAGTCTGCATTAGGATGTGTGGACAGAAAGAGATCGTCTTATGATTTGTTTAGGAATTGTTTAGATCTGATTGCATCAGGGTTCACCATCCTTTTACAGACAGATAAAATTAACGTACGAACGTATTTCATTTTACTTCTACAGATCTTGTCTGGTGTTGTACAATCAACTGGATGGCCAGGAGTTGTTACAGTTGTTGGAAATTGGTTTGGCAAGAGGAAAAGAGGTGAGAAATATGTAGATATATTTAGATTGTGTGGTGTACAATCTGTTTATGGACAGGTGCCAATGTGGACCTTAAATGGAACTAAATTGACAGAAGTGTGAAAAAGTTGTCAGTGATGAAAGTATAAACAAAGACAATGTTGTGAGAATTCATTGCATTTATTCCTAACTATGCATTTGGGGCAAGGCCGTGGCCTAGGCAACACGGAGTTTTCCTCTGGGGGCTTCCCCGGTTTCTCCGTGGCAACAATTACTCCATTCACACACAGACGAAGGCAATGGCAAACCACTTCTGGATCATCTGCCAAGAACGTATATGAACAGGTCCCAGTCCGAGAAAAGGATGGAAGGATCCTGTTCATATGGACCTGTCGTCAGACAGAACACTAAATAAATAATGCATTTGACAGTCAACATGTAGCCTCTTCAGGAAGCAGTAAGTAATGGACCTTCCATAGGTGTGTTACCGACTCATGATATTTTTCTGGATGTAGACTCGTAGTTAGATACCAGTGTTGTGGAGGAACATGCTGTGTACAGGGCATCACAACTCAGAAGAATGTTGTCATCGTCACCAGCACGAGTACCTCAAGTCTCATGTTACTATTTACCTTTATTTTTTCCCCTAGGTCTTTGAATGTTTGAAATTTGAATGGTGTGTGGGCATTCACTAACTTTTTGTTTGGGATTGTTGGTGCATTATAAGCAGTAAACTCTGATGAAGCAGTTTATGTATGAGTTGTTGAAAACCATGAAGTTCCAGTTAGTTATCGCTCCATTTTGTGTCTTTGTAGGTATTATATTTGGTCTGTGGAACTCACACACTTCAATGGGAAATATTCTTGGTTCTCTGATAGCTGGTGAATATGTGGAAGGGGATTGGAGTTTGTCATTCATTGTGCCAGGTATCCTTATAGCTGGTATGGGATTTGTGGTATTCCTATTCTTGGTTGTCAGGCCAGCTGATGTGAATTGCCCTCTACCAGACCAGGTTTGTAAATACTAATAGCCATTAAACTTACATTTGAAATGCAGGTTACTGGAAATTTTGATGGTCAGTAGTGCATTGATTATGAAGAACACATTGTTCATTGTCATCTTCCTGTTGTTCTTATGGTGAAAATCGTATCTGTGTGAATAACCTAATAACAACCAGCTGGACTTCCAAGACTTTTTTCTTAATTATCCTATCAGTTCTGCTCCTTTCGAATGACTAATCACATGCCAATTCCAATTCATTCTGTTGTCTCTTCTCGCAGCATTCTGTATATTTTCATATTAAAAACATCTTTTTTAATTCTGTTCTCTTACAGTGATAATACACAACCACACAATCTTACTCAGGTTTTTATAACATATCTTTAAAAATTTCGCATGTAGTGTTTATTTATTTTTGTTTGTTATTCTTTGGTCATTTGCGGGTTTTCAAATCAAGCCTGTATATCCTCACACAAATGTTTGATTAGCAAAATAATATATTTTATAAATGTTAATAGCATAGCTCTCAAATTATCTGTAGCCCACCCATGTAAGAGCTAGATTTTTTGTGTCAACCATTTTTTACAAGTTTTTAAACATGGCAACCGCAAAACTGTGTCAACCATTTTTACAAGTTTTTAAGCATGGCAACTGCAAAAGCTGAAAATGTATGCCTGTTAGTTTCTCCATATCTGTCTGTCCATCCATATGGATTATAATTAAATTTATATTGCGGAATTTTATTAATATCGATAACAAATTCTAATTTTTCAGATAATAATGTATAGATGGACGTCTTCTGGGTTGTAGTGCTGTGTTTTCTGGTAGATGCTTACCAATGTTTCATTGGCCTTTGCTGCCTCCACCATCAAGGCGAAGAGGGTGATGATATTGGTAAGCTTTGCATGGTGCTACAACCTAGAACACAGCCATCTTCGGACTTACCGCTGTAAAAACCTGAAATCCTACTTCATACTTTGCGAAAAGACATGCTTGTGACAAATGACCTTGGTCTCAGTTATAAGTCCAAGATAAATGGACAGAGACCCATTGCCACCAGTCCCATAATCAAGGTCATTTATTCTGAACCCAAGGTCATTTGACTATGGATCCAAGGCCATATGACTCAAGCCAAGGGAATTCATTCCATGTCCAAGGTGATTGATCTAGATCCAGTATCATGATCACAGGTCCAAAGGTTATCGGTCCTAGGTCCAAGACAATTAACCCCAAACTCAGGGTCGGTCATCCCAGGTCTGGGGGAGTTGGTTTTGTGTCCGACATCTTTCCAGTTTTGAATTCTGCTACAAAGAACTGTGTGGCATAAGAGGGTTAAAAATCTGGTGTTTCACTAGTTTTAGGTATATAGGCTCATATAATTTAATTTGAATCCGAAGGGGTCAATTTTAAATTATATTCCTGTGTGTTGATTTGATGGGAAATGTCTACTGTTAATCTAAAACTTGTAGCGATTGACCAGTTGAAAACAGTTTTACATGACATTAATTTTCAACTTTTTGGCATGTTACACTTTCAAGGAGTATTTTAAAGCTCTGTCTTTTAACTGTGACTGCTGATACAGTATATGGCCTGTGTAGATTACATATGAAATACTGTTCAGGTGTGTGCAGAGCGACTTAATTCTCAGGGGTATGAGACGGTGTCCTCAGAAGATTCTTCAGAAGGTCTTGCAAGCTGTGAATCTGATGACACAGAGCTGGTGAGTGTAGTGTTTTAGTCTGTAACTGATGTAACCTAACAAACAATTGTTTATCAGCTTACAACAATTACTCACCGGGAGAGATGACATGATGGGGCCTTTTGCAAAGATGTTCTTATTGTAGTATTTCCAGCTTTAATAGCTATCCCAAAAGTTAGAAATGAAAATGTGTTCACCGTGTTATTTTGAAAGTACCACCACGTGAAGTTTTTTTTATTATGTTCTCAGAAAAAGTCACAGTTGGAAATCAGCAGATGTCATGTGACATAAAAACCAAAAAATATTTACACACTTCAACAAAACAAAAACCTGTATAAAAGGTTTAATACTAAATTTATACAGACATCAAGAGATGACCATAAGTCATGTTGTGTATACATTTTTTTGGGCCCCTCAATGTATATATGTATGTATGTATGTACACACACATATATATACATGCATGCATCCTTGTGTGAAGACGTGGGAGTAAGTGTACTAACCCATAGTTGGAAATGTGGAATGTTGCAAAATGTAATCCCACTAACGCTTTTTATTTGTGTGTGAGGGTGGGCTAAGTCACGTTTTGTTTGCCACCTATAAATAAGCCTTTCAGAATCTTAATAGAAATGGAATTGGAGCAACCATGTTTAATTTTATTTCATTTTTTTTAATTTTAATAAAGTGTGGATTTAGCACACTTCTGCTTCTGGATCTTTGTATGTATTCTACAACATTGTCATTACACATTTGTGTCATTAACTGAATAAAATATTATCATATTGAGTAACACACAACATATTTAAGTTCTGTGAATATTTTTTTATCTTAAATAACATATTTAATTGTACAAGGACAATGAGCGACAAAAGATGACATGCTTGCTCTTTGATGCAAATGAGTTGTTCCGTTTACTATCATGAATTCTTTATTTTGTAGTGGAATAATGAAGGAGACTTTGCGTATTTGGAAGTTAATGTTGTGTAATATTGTCTGTGCCTTATCCTTCTCTTCTTTGTGTTTTGTTGTGTATAAACCTTAACGGTGTACTTTGTTTTTATTTTTTGAAGGGAAATGATTATCATTCTTGGAAATATGGAAACCATCATAACAACGTAAGTGAAGGGTTACCAACACACTGAATTTCATTCACTCTAAAATTCTCGTTTCAGCAAGGTAAATTCTTGATGTTTTGGATTGCACATAAATTGGTGCTGGAGTTCACAGAGTTCTGGAAATTAAGTGATATTGGCTGTCATTTTGTTTTGTTATTAATTTATGTAATGTCATTACCAATAGTGGGTGAGGCAATTAAAAATGTAGCAGATGAATGCCTGGAGATTGAAGATTCTTAGAGGTAAAGCAGGTTTTGGAGCTTTCTGTTAAAATTTGGCCAGATCTTGCATCCCATGTGGATTGTAGTGTCAAATGAAAGGTAGGTTTACATATGTTTACATGAGTAGTCCTAATAGCTTCCACATTACTCGTGCATGGCATATGCATCTGTCCAGCCATTCTTCAGTTATAAGCAAACAGGCAGTGAGGCCATTAGGAGTGATCATGTCATCAGCCATTGCAGAGTATCATGGGTAAGTCATCAACACAGGATCATCCTCTCACCTAATGACTTCATTCATCCGCAATCGTGTCATATCAGTAATACGGATTTTAGGAAATTAAAATGTACGAGTTTAGACCAGCATCCCATGGCATAACCTCCATACCAAATTATGTGAAAATCTGTTCAGTCAGTATCACTATGTTAAATAGTAGAACATGGAGTTCATAAGACCATTGATAGGTGGCACAGTGATCTTTGCTGAAAACATGGCCAATAGATGGCAGGAAATTACCCATAAGGTGTCTTTGTGTATGCTGAAGCATAAAGAATGACAAAATATCAATCTTTGGCAATTAGTATGGTATGGATAGAAGTTTCTGATTGGGAATAGGGACAGTTGTTTGCCTCTTGTGAACTTTAAGATTTGTGAAAGTGCAGTAGATTCTTGGCAGTGAATGGCTTTTATGCCTTTAAGAAGGACTACATCAAGAAACTGAGCTACATTTCATGGGAATACAGGATTCAACAGGTGATTATACATTTTTCTATAAAAAGGGGAATGTTAATCATTACCATGGGACCAGCCTTTACATATGAAGCAGTTACAAAGGAGAGTATTTTAGTGATAAGGTGTCATATGCAGGGTATTTACACATTGCATGGAAGGTGCGCGGATTTGGAAGGTTATTTTAAGTGAAACGTGTAAATACAGGATTGGGCAGCATTCATTCATACTCTGGCAGTCCTGGGGAGGGGATGAAACTAAGAGTGCTACACTGTTCAGCTAGGGACACCATTTTAGTAAACATGGATCAGTGATCATCTGTGCACCAATGCATTCACTACAGAGACATTTTAAAAATAACAACTTTGTGATGGCAATGCAACGAATATTCAGACAGCATTTTAACATTGGGAGACTTGGAAAGTTTCATATTCAGAACACCATCGAGAATGTGTAAGCAGCAGTGCACAGTTGAGTAAGGTTAAGATAAGGGTTTGCAACCTAGAAGTAATATGATAAAAGGAAGGGATTGGTGACCACATTGCCACAGTATTTTGATTATGTGAAAGATTGCTTCTGTGATCTGTTGAATGTACATGGAGTTATGTGTGGTAGACAAAGTGAAATACATCAGTTGAGCTGGTAGTTCCCAAACCCAGTTATTTTGAGGTTGAGGTTGCTAATTAAAAGCTAAAACAGACCAAAGTGCTGTGGATAATTTTTGTGGATTTCATTGTAGTAGATAAAATAGTGATTATATATTCTGAGAGAACATTTGGGAATACAATGGGGCGATTTCAGGTGTTTGTAGACTTCAAAAAGATCTATGATTCAGTTTCAAGTGAAGTATTGTACAGCATTCTAATTGAAATCTGTGTACTGATGAATCTTAATTAGGCTAATAATCATCATTCAGTCTTCTACCATAAAAATTAAACATTGCCTACTCATAATTAAAACCATTTGATCCATACAACCAGGAAATCTAGAATAGGTCTGTTACAGTTGTAATATGTGCAGAGGTCGTGATATGATTGTTAGAAATATTTTATTGTCTTT